CTCACGGCTCTGCTCCTCCCCAGGGGGTACGACGGGGGATCTGACCTCCACGTGGGGATAACCAACTCCCACGGTAAGGAGCACCTGGTGCTTGCCACCCACCCCCTCCTGGGGCCTGTGTGCCCAGCTCAGCTCTCTCTCCCCTCCCTCAGCTCACCCCGACTGTCCCACAGCTGCCCCCGAGCCCCCTGCACTGCCCTGCTGCTGTCTGATAGCTGCTGGAGCACAGGCTGGGACAGCTGAGTGGCTCATGCTTTGCTGCTGTGGAGTGTGCACAGCCTTAGGGTGCTGCAGGTCCCAGAGCCAGGAGCACAGCATCATGTAAGCACCAAAAACATCCAGAGCACAAGAACTTCTCTCACCTTGTAGCAGACAGAGCTTCAGGCCAAAGCCACCCAGCACACTTGCCATGGCACAGAATGGAGCTGCCAGGGGCCTGCCACCCTGGCAGAGTCATAAACAACCAGGCTGGTACTTGAAAGAACTTAGAGGAGATCTGAACAGAAAATCTGGACATAAACACAGTTTTTACCAATTCTAAAATTATCCCTAATTGGAAACCAAACAACTCTTTTAAAAGCCACATTAAAAATCCTACCAGGTTCCCCCTAGAACAGGTTAAACCTGCGAAATCACAGGATTTTAGGGCTTGGAATGGACCTTACATATCATCTAGTCCCAACCCCCTGCCCTAGGCAGGGAACCCTCCCACCAGACCGGGTTGCTCAAGGCTTTAGCCAGCCTGGCTTTGAACACTGCCAGGGTTGGGGCATCTTCCTGGGCAACCCGTGCCAGTGTCTCACCAGTAACTGGCACTTCAGCTGTCTAGTAACTATAAAAATAGTCTAATCTGGAGGTAAAAATGAAGCCTGATTGTTTTTAAGTTGTTCTTGTTATCAAAAGACATCTGAAACTACACTGTAAGACCAGGCCTGCATTTCCCACTCAGCAGCCCCTGCTGGAAGCTGTGCTGTAGTCAGGCTGAAAAAGAACAGCAGTATGGAAAACTAGTAGCAGTTTTTATCACAAAAAAGGAAAAGGATAGGGCTGTTTGTCCAGTGCCAGCTAACAATCTCATTGTGTTTCCAGGGGTGGTGTACAATTATGACCAAGAAGGCATTCACAGAGCTGAGACTGGCTGGGAGCAGTGCCTTAGCATCCCACTGGTACAGCCAGACATGTTTGAGCTTCTGCAGCAGTGGGATAAGCTCCTAGAGGAATTTTCCATGGGAGAGGCCTGGCTTCCTCACAGGTATGTACCCTAAAAGCTGGATATAACAGTCTTTAGTCTGAGGTGATAAACTGGGCTATTCCATTTTGGACCCTGTGAGGTTTGTGGATCATTTAGAGCCTTGTGCTCCTTCAAGACCAGCCTGAACATCACTGCCAGCCTGTCCTGAACCTCACTGTCTGAACAGACTGCTCTGAAGTGGTAACAAACTCATCTCCTGGGATGGAAGGCTCCAAGACAAGAGATGGTTTTAGGGGATTGTGCACTAAACCCCCAGTTTAATGAACCATTACCTGCATGCTGCTGAGTACCAAAGTCCAGGTGCAATTCTGACATTTTTTGTCTAAGTTTCATCAGGTTTAGGTGTATCTGCATTTAAAGGCTGACTACACTGGTGGGATTCTTGCCCAGAACTGACATCCAGATGATGTCTTTGTTGTCAGTGGGGAGAAATGGGAAACAGGGTCAGGTTCAGCCCTTCCAGCTGGTCCATAACATTGCTCTGGATGGTGAAATACAGAGGCTTCCACATACTTTGAACTAAACTGGTATTTCCCACTGAGAACATACAGCTCTTCACATTCCCTGAAGGTAATGCCCAGTGACAGGTCACACAGCTGAGCACACCTGCCACATCCCCACAGTGGCTGGGGACAAAGCAGCTCTGCAGGGAACACCAGGCCAGGGACTGCTCACCAGTAACACACATCCTGCCTAAGCACAGCTCTGTGCTGTGTTTGACTTAATCAACATAGACATCAACAACCCACATCAAATCAAATGAGTTTTTAGCAATTCTGCATATGCTTGAACATAAAATTTCAGAGATAAATCTAGACCAGGAGATGTAAGAATCTGACTAGAATACAATCTTTAGATGTTTATGGAACTTGTAAAGCCAAAGGGATTTGTGTCTCTCAGGTACTTTTACAGTTCCAGTGCCTTGCTACTAATACTAAAATTAACCTGACATAAAAAAAAATCATTGGCAGAAGGTGGATAGATGTGTTCATCTCTTCAGAAAGCTTTTCTTCAGTTTTCATCTGCCACCTGCTGACAAAGTGACCTGCACAGCTGGACCAGTGCCCAGTGAACTGCTGAAAACTGCTCTTCATTAACTTCCCTGTTTATTGTCTCAGTGGTCAGGAACTGCACTAAACTAATCCTCTAACTCCTCTGGGTTCAGGCCAAGCCTAGTTCTGATTTTCTTGATTGCTTTTCACTTACTGGAAGGTCAGTGTAGAACAGCAGCTCCAGCCAGGACCAACAGTACCTGAAATTGCTGAGACGTGCTGGGTTTGCCTGTCAGGATACAAAGACACTTGCCAAAAAGGAGAAGCTAAGCTTGCTTACTAACTAGGAGCTTACAGGTCACTTCAGATACCCCGAACAAACCAGGAGAGCTTTGAAGAGAGCTGTGCTGAACTGGGCTCGGGGTCATTTTTCATACCCACAGTCCTCACATCTTGAAAAAACACCCTATAAATGCCCAGGGTTGACAGGAAAGCCTCACAGGGATTCCCCGTGGCAGCACAGACCATGAAACCACTGAGAGCACACGTAATGAGTCATGGGGCTGGGGAGAACAAGGGGAAAACTACAAGGGTGAGGCAGTTACAGAAGCAGATGGCAAACAGGAATCTGGGCAGGTCTGTGTGAAATGCAGGTACACAGGGACAGGGGAAAATACAGCACGGGGTGGTGAGGGAGTGGAACAAATGGAACAATTGAAGTTGTTAGTGGCCACACAAAACATTTGGAGAACCCAAGAAACATTTTGCCAGTGAACAGGTAAGTGCTATATGCTCCTAGGTTAGGGTACTGGGGAAAAAAGAGATAAAGGCAGAACACTGAAATGTCTGTCACTCCTGTTCCATCCTCCACAACTGGCACAAACCACTGTTAGTGGGGTCTGACTAGCACTGTATGGCAACTGCACCAGCACATCCATGGTAGAAGGTACTGCATTTTAAGTGAGCTTCCAAGTTACCACCACGCTGGAAGCAGCACATGTGGCACACAATTACCACTGCTGTGCAGGAAAGGCTTTACAAGGTAACACAGGAACAATGCACGGAGGAGCAAATGTTCACCAGGGAAAAGCCAAATGAGTTTGAAAAATGAGAGCTCCTTATTGTCAAGCCTGCAGCCCTCCTGTTTTTTATGCTCAGACTTCCAAGGATCCCTGGCTGGAAAGTACAGCTTGTGATGAACAGAATGTATTTAAACACCAGCATTACAGGGAAGTGGGAACAATTCCTGGAGAGCATGCACTTCCTTGTTTCACTGAGTACAATACTCCTTCCTGAGCAGTGATGACTGGATTAGTGCTAGCTCTCCCTAACGAGATGCTTTGCCTAGGTATGATGAGCATGAGCACAACTGCTACACGTACGCCCTGGCCTTCATTAACAGCCTGCTGACTGCACAGGGGCAGCAGCCCCTGACCAAAGGGGACTTCACAGGCACCTTTGTCCTCCCTCACACCAAGAAAGCCTCCAGATACCTCACTCTGCACCAGGAGCTGACACATAATGAGTTCTACATCGTGCCCCTTGCTGATGATGAAGACAGTGCTGAAAATGACAAGCTACTGTATTAAACCAGCTGCAACATGCAGTAGGAAAAGGAAGTGTTAAGGCTGCACGTCTCAGGGTTTAAGGTGTGTGATCTACTTAATGCAGTTCAAAACACAATTCACTTTAACCTGCACATCAGGGATGGGTCAGGATACTGACCTTGTGCAGCTGAGTGAAATAACATACAATGTACACACTACAGAAAATTCCTATGGCAACTATTCATATGGAAAAATGTTTTCCTATTTACATTCCCTGTGTGCTCTGTTCTGTTAAGACACTTCATACCACAGATCATAGCTGCTGTGTAATTAAGGGTTTTAAAAAATGAACTGTGGTAGCTTCAGATGTAGCAAACCAAAATGGTTTTTTCCTGTCACATTTGTTTACTGATGAGTGGAGAAAAGGGAATGTTTGCTTGTGTGCTGCTGATATCCAAAATCCTCAACATCCTGCAGATTCACTACCTGCAAAGTTACTTTCCTTTAATTACTAATAAATACATCCACAAAGAAACCCAACCTCTTTGCCAGATCTGTTTCCTTTTCATTTCTGACCAGCATGGTGAAGCAAGGAAGGCAAGATGGAATTCACATGCCTGAATGTAGCTGATACTGAAACCTCCTGGCTCTGCTTGAAAGCAGCTGAATATCTTCTGGGTGGGTTGGTTGGTTGGTTTGTTTGTGTGGCTTCCAAATGTGGCTTAGCAATAGTACACATCAACTTCAGGAAGCTGCAAAAATCTTGGAAATCTTGCAAAAAAGCTAGAAAGCAGCAGGCATCTTATGGTGCAAATCCCAAGGGAAGCCAGACACCTCACCTAGACAGGGAAAGGTGTCCAACAACCAACTTTCCTGTTAGGTGTTTAACCCCCAGAATCAAATTTAAATCCTTGCACATTCTGGGAAAAGTCTTTCAATCCTGAGCAGAGCTTGGGAAAACAAGACACACAATTCCAGGCTCCAGGCACCCAAGAGCAACCTGTTACAATGCCCAACACTGCAACAGCCAAATCTCTCCCCAAATCCAAATTTGTGCCACTTCATCAAGGCTGTGAAGTCAAAGAATGGTACTAGAGATACCCAAAAAGGTTATGTGACTCACTGTAATTTCTGTTGGGTTTTAACTAGTTAAAAACCAGCATGAAATTCGAGGACAATCAAGTCTGTCTTCGTTCTGAAGACATGCAGGACCCTGTGCTGAGCTACAAAATTAAGTTAGCCTGACAATTCCCAGCTCTCAAGAATCTGTGAGGTATTCCCAGCAAACTGTTTGATCCCTCATTGCTCAGGCTTTCAGGCAGACAGTCAGGTTTCTGCAGGCTGCAATGCCCATTCAGCACTGATGCCTTTATCTGCCATAACATTAAACATACTAATGATTGCAGTGTAGCCACCAAACATAAACCTTTTTATTTTATAGTCTGAGTTGGGACACAGCATTAATTTTTTCCCCCTTTATATGCATTGTTATAGTTCAGTTGCATTTCTCAATACAACATTCTGTCCTGTAAACATGATACACCTCATTTGAAATTGCATTTCTACATACCAACTGAAATGTTGATAGAAACTGTCCTGGGGCTATGGTTTATCAGGAGATTAGATAAAAATCCAACAAGAAGTGCTCTTAAAAACATCAGTTTTTCCTATGCAGTCAGTTAAAATTCATCTTGCTCACTGCGTTCACGGGAAGAAACCCAACGATTTACAATCAGTTCCTGAAATAAAAAACAGTGATTATTAAGCAAAAAAACAACAAACAAAGTTAGAGATAATCAGTGAGGGATGGGGGCTAAACCTTTAGCGAACTGCCATCTATTATGTGCCCATCCATAACATTTTAGAAGATGACTACATTTGTTCCTGGAGTGAGCTGAACTCTCACACGTTTCTCCCTTCATTTCTAGGCACAGGTTAACCTCAGTCTCCACAGGGATCCCTGTTTCTCCATGCAAATGCTTGCATTCACAGTAGCAGCAACATCAAACTTTAGATTAGAAGATCTGAAGTCTAAAGAGCCTGCAAATCACTTCTAGAGCCTTGGGGTACAGGGGAATCCAGTTCCTTTACTGCAATTCTGCATGCAAAAGCCAAATGGTGCCAAAGAGCAAGGACAGTTGTCAGGGCTGTCCAGCTGCCCCTGGGCAAAGCCACGTGGCAAAGGAGAGCAGTAACTACTCACCTGAACCTTGATTCTCTTCATACACTCTGGGCTTGACATCTCTTCTGCAGTCATGTCAGAAGGTCTAATCAAATAGCAGAGCATAAGCTCCTGTTGGCAACCAGGAAACATGCACACATGAGTTTCAGGTGATTATGGAACTGGGTTTAAGCTCTAGCACAGAGAAAAGCTTTTGGAAATTCCACTGTTCAAAACAAAAACCTGGGAGATGGAGAAGGCTTTAAAAACACAAGTGGCAAGCAGGAAAGAAGTGTCCCTCAGAGCTTTCTTGTGCCCCCTCACACACCTGTTAACATTCCTGCAGGCAGCAGAACTTTAATGAGCTCCTTCAACAATTCATCTGGATATTGACATAGGAAACTTGTTTCTCTACTGGCAACTCATGTTC